GATTGGAACAGTGCTTCGAAAGGGAAATTGACAATAATGGTGGGTTTGGGGTGGATTCTGATTCATATAGGTCATTGACTTGGGACTTTAGGTGAGTAGCGGTATCCAGCAGTTAGCAGTACATAACACATATCCATTTAATATTTGCTATTACTGTGGAAACTTCATTGAAATTATAGGTCATATTGCAGTGGGTCGACCAGTTGGTGGTAATAAAACTGAAACATTAAATTTAGAAAATTTTGGCTTAAAAACTATTACTTAAACCATTAATAAAACAGTTTTTCACTTTGATTTTTGGCTCATAAGAAGCTAGGTTTTATTTTGTTTTGGAACAGGGAAAAGAGTGATGACAAACTGGGAGGGCTACTACATGCTACATTAGTCAGAATGTGTTTTATTGAACACATAAATGTCTTTTTGGTACTGTGTGCTATGCTAGGTGCCCACTTTACAGAAATGAATGAGGCACAACTTGGGATCTCATAAAGTAGTTCTTTGTTACACTAGGACGAACCCTTGCTGTTTTTAGTCTGGAATTTATAAGATTTAGATTAATTGGAAGTGAGTTTAGAAGTATAATCTAATCCATTTTGTTCCCTTTTCACATGAGAAAAATGACAAAGACAAATGATTTGTCTACAAAGCCGTTTAGTGGTCAAACCCACTAATTGGTTTCTGATTTCTGGTGTAATTCTCCATTACACAATTAATATCACCACCACCATAATTATATAACTAACATTTATTGATCACTGACTTTATGCTAGACAGTGATAAATGTTTTACATAGGTATCTTGTTTAGTCCTCACAACAGCCTACGAGATAGATGTTGTTATTTTATCTGTAAGTGTAGTCATCAGGCAAGGCTAAATACTGAGTCTGTGATGCTAGGGGAATGGTGGTTCTGGGAAATTGATCTTTAGTTTACTTTTTTATTAAGTTTTTAGAGATGTACTGGAATTGTTATTAACATGTAGCTACAAATCTAGAATTTCTAGAACAGTTGGAAGTAGGAGATTATAAAAATTCCTATAAGTATGACAAAAGGAGCTTCTTGAAAGATCTGATAGATCTTTCTCAGGTGATAGATATTGCCTCAGGTGATTTGATAAAGATCTGATAGATATTGCCTCAGGTGATTTAGGCAATATCCTCAGATTAAATCCCAGGGGAGACAATAAATACGTATAGATCTTTGTGTGCAAAATAACGGAATTGTTTCATTTACATATTGAAAGAGCAGTTTGTGACTTTCTTGGGCAATTTTTTATAAGGGTTGAGCTTCTCCTGGTAAAGAAATGTGTTAGAGAGAAGGATGGAATAGTTGTTAATATTTTCTTTTGCCTACTTTTTTTTTTTTCCATGTCACAGAAAATGTCTTAGGGTGAGATGAGGATATAGAAGTGGCTAAGCAGAAACAGATTGTCAATCCTTGCCTTAATGGATGAGGGAAGGGAATTTCAAGAAGTGGAAGGTTGAGATTACCTCTATAAAAGTATTAGGTATTTTTGTTTCTTTTTTATTTTGTAGAATTGGATGGATTGAAAGTTGAGCTTTTCTAACTTGAGGATTGCCTCTAAGTTTCTTGTTGAGAGCAAGAAAAGATAAATTTATGTTTTGTATGTTATTTAAAAGTTAGGAAACATTGTATTAAGGAACATTTCCATAAAAATAATAATAGATTTGATATTAAAAAGAATTACCTTTGATTACAAAACTTTGCTTATATGAAACTGTGTGATAACTAAGAAATTGCCGTAAGAAATTTTATTGAAGATAAAAAAGAAACAAAAAAATTTTCAGTACTCTAAGGTAGCAAAAATGAGGTTTGATACTTTAAAAACTAGTTTTTATTATTGTATACCCTTGGGTAAGATTTAGAGATTGATTTTGTGGTTGTATCGGTTTTTAAAATGGATTTTATAAACAGTAATAAATATATTTTTGTCCATATGTCAGGAGTTATTGTCCCTGACTTTCACTTAGAAATTTTTAACTTTCTTTGCCTTAGTTATGGGAGAATAAACTAATGCAGTCTAGGGCAGTAGATGGATTTCATTCAGAAGAGCAGCAGCTTTTATTGCAAGTTCAGCAGCATCCAACTCAGCAGCAGCAGCATCACCACCACCACCACCATCAGCAAGCTCAACCGCAGCAGACAGTACCTCAGCAAGCACAGACCCAGCAGGTTCTTATTCCTGCGTCACAGCAAGGTAAGACTGGATATGTTTTTTTGCTTATAACTTGGAAATGAAATTTGTCATTGTCAAAAGAAGATATACTTGGGTTTCTCCTTTCTTACGGTTGAAGAGGGTATATATGTGTGTGTGTTTACATATAAATTTGTGTAAAATGGGGATCCAATTTGTATAGTAATGATAAACAAGTAATTCACTAATTGAAAGCCTAAGATGATATTCGAATAAGTTTACTGATACTTTCTTCTGAGAAGGCTACGTAATAGTGAATTTCCTGAAATAAGTTTGATCTATAAAGGTTTATTGACTAAGGGTTTCATTTTATATGGTAAAATCATCTGCATTCTTTAAGAAACTGATTTCTTCTTTCAAAGACATATTTGAGTTTAGTAACTATGACAGTATAAAATTTCAATTTCTTAGTAATTTGTATAAGTCTAAATTGAATTAAATTTCTTTTAAGTGAAGAGTGGCTATATACCATATCTTAATTTATGTTACTTGGTTTAAAGATAAGAAAAAACAAGTATTTAAAGACTGTGTCCAGATTGCTTTGTATTATGCAAGTCATTTCATGGCTTTTTGTTTCATTGAAGCCTTACAAAGGCCTTGTGAAATAGCTTTTAACATTTCACAGCTGAGGAATATCTGGGTCCTGAAAAGGCTAAGAAGCTTGAGTCTTTCCATATAGTAAGAGTTTTCTATTATAACAAACATCTACAGTAATCTTCCCCTAGTTTGGTCTTAACTTTCTGCAGTTTCAGTTACCTATGGTCAGCGTGGTCTGAAAATATTAAATGGAAAATTGCAGAAATAAATAGTTCATAAGTTTTAAGTTATTTGTTGATCTGAGTAGTGTGATGAAATCTTGGGCTGTCTTGCTCCATCCCTTTGTTCAGTTATCCATGTTCTGTATTCTACCTGCTCATTCATCTCTTAGTAGCCCTCTAGTTATCAGAGTGATTGTTGTGGAATCTCAGTGCTTGTATTCAAGTAACTCTTATTTTACTTAGAACTGGCCCCAAATGCCAAGAATAGTGAGGCTGGCAATTTGAATATGCCAAAGAGAAGCTGTCAGGTGCTTTCTTTAAGTGAAAAGGTGGAAGTTCTCTACTTAATAGAGAACAAAAATCATATGCTGAGGTTGCTAAGATCTATGGTACTAACAAATCTTCTTCCTACAAAATTGTGAAGAAGGAAAAAGAAATTCGTGTTAGTTTGCTGAGAGAAAGCGACCACATTCACATAACTTTTATTACAGTATATTGTTGTAATTCTTCTATTTATTATTGTTGTTAATCTCTTACTATGCCTAATTTATAAATTAATCTTTATCATAGGTATGTACATATAGGAAAAAACATAGTATGTGTGTATGGTGTTCGGTGCTATCTATGGTTTTAGGCATCCATTGGGGATCTTCGAAAGTATCCCCTATAAGTAAGGGGATACTTATTCATATACTACTATATTCAGTTATAAAATATCCTGGGTATTTGAGTTTTGTAAATCTTGTTATTGGAAAGGAGAATGAAGGTAAATAAATTTATTTTAAGGTATCTGTTTAATTACTTGTTTGCCTCCTTCGAGAGTCTATATAGGACTTAAAATTGTTGGTGATGCATGGTAGAAATGTCTATTTGGGTTATTTTGCTATTTACATCAAATAGGACTTTCTATGTTTGCTTTTAGTCTATACCTTGCATCAAATAATTCTGTCCTTTTAATCAGTTTTGATGACTGTTCCTCCTATTGCCTTTAGGCCTGGCACTAGGATTTTAGGTCATCATAAATTAAAATTTGATTTTCTTCACTCAGAGAATAGTAGGATAATGGGATTATCTGTTTATTCTCTGAAATTTGCGGAATCAAACACTTAGTTCCTTTTATGCTTAAGTAATGTTGTGATTTTCAAATTGTATTTTTAGAAAAGTTAATGGAAATAAGATTCTGACAGCTGTTACATTGAGAGGAAAGGGCTATGTAGAGTAAAGAAAAACTAGTTCTAACTTTTGAGTTCACTTTTACTGGGTTAATACCTCATTTCAACAGCAACATATGTCAATAAAACCATTAACGCTGAGTTAGTAAGCCAAGATTAATTTAGGTTAAAAAATTTCCAGTTTAAGAATGCACGGAAATATATATGTTTAGGTGATAGGTGTCTCACTACTGTGTTTTCTCAGTTTGCCTTGAATCCTTAGGTATTGTTACTCAAATCTTTTTTTAATTGATGTTTTCCAGTATAAGGTAGATATTATTACAGCTGTTATTTACTGTAGAAATTTATAACATTCTGAGATATCAAATGATTGAGTGTAATTGAATGCAGAAAATGTGGAAAGCATACAAAAACTTTTCAGCATTGTCTAGCATTCTATGATTATGAACTAGCCTCATGGTTCCTTGTTTACATGTGTGCTTGTGTTTTTAATAGCTGCAGCACCACAAGTTATTGTTCCTGATTCTAAGCTGATTCAACATATGAATGCATCAAACATGGTAAGAATCAGAACGTAGCACTTTGTTTGGTTCTACTTACTCTAACCCAAATTGTGATTATATTATTGCCCAGGTATTTTGTATATTAACAAAGTTTATTTAAAGCTTGAGCAAAATGGTTCTTTTATTTGGTTTCATAAATATTGGATTTAGCAGCACATCTAAAGTTTAGGTCCATACTTAAACATTGAGGTTCATAAAATTATGTAATTTTCTGTTGAAAATAGTAAAAGGATGATGCATTGTGGGAGCTGTTTCATCCCCTGCTATTATATAGGGTTAGGGGACTTAGCAAATAATATTATGCCAAGTGTAGTTCTGTTTCAGAAGATCCATTAACTGCAAGAGGTCAGGAATGCTAAGAATTATAAACTAAAATTTTTTTAGGTAGTTCAGGATAGGTTTTAAGGTCAATTATTTAAAAAATTTTGCTGTGATTTAACCATAGCATATTCTTTTAAGTTTTACTACAATATATAAATTGCTACTTTAAAATGCATTTTAACTGGTTGCATTTATTATATGTTAGACTTTTGATATTTCTAAGACATATCCACTGAAGTTCATATGTCTTCAAGTTTTCAGATTTCACTTAGGGTATATAATATTTCTCATCAGGTGTAGTGTATTATAACAGAATTGAAAGAACCCCTTCTGATCCTTAGAAAATTTTTACCTATATCTTTAAAGTTTTTTTTTTTTTTAATAAAACAATAGTTTCTAGCACTTTATCATAAATGGCTTTTATTCTGTTTAAAGTATGTAGACTATTGATGGTGTCTCAGCTCTGACATTTCATTCTTAAATTTGGCCAAATCTTTTATTTAAAGGTAAGAATCATTATTTTTAAAAAGAGCCCTTAGCTTAGTGCTAACAATGAGACTTTTTTTCAGAGATATATATATATTTTTAATGAAAAAGCAGTATTTTAAAAAATCACTTATTTTTGGTGAATGGTGGGTGAGTAGTGAACCCCAAATGTCATTTGTGATTTATAAGCCAGGTAGGAAGCAGATAGATTGCTGCAATCAGTTCTTTTGCATGAATATCACAAAATTCTGTGCCTAGTATTTCTCTCAATTTTTATTAAAAGAGAAAATTAATTTCAAGTCTAAGGCCTAGATTTCTTTTTAACCTTTACCCTAAAAAGTAAAAGTCTCACTATAGGGTATATGTTACAGTTGGTACTATTCAGATTGTTTCCTAGAGAATAATTTCTGTCATTTGATAACAGAAAGTTTGGTAAAATCACTTCTAGTAAGTTCATCTTATCTCGAAGAATTTTTGGTGTGTGAGAGAGAATGTTGAATTAAAATTTTGTTTAAAAAGACTGGGGCAAAATCAGTGGTCCATCTCTTACTGATTTGTTTTGTCTCCTTGATTCATTCTTAAGAGTATGTGTATTTAACAGATCATAGGTTAAAAGTTCAATCAATAAAATGTATTAATATTTTCAGTGTTTGCTCCATGTATTTTACATGTTCTGAAACATAATCAGTATAGGCTCTTTATACAATAAAAGGTTGAGTTTTTGTTTGTGTTATTCCTGATTTAAACATATCTGTTTAAAACCGTTTTTGATTTTAAACATCTCCATGCTTTGGAAATGAACATGAGTAAAAATTATGTAATTTTATAAGGATGTGCGATAGTGATACTAGGTAGAAGGCTATTCCAAACCAGTTTTGCAAGTTCTCTTTATGAAATGATTTCTCTAATGCATTGTTTATGTTAGGGCTATTTCATAAAATACAAGAAGAAATTTTCACTAGATATTAATAGAAAATGGTTTGTGTGTGCTATATCACTCACTAAATATTTATTAATAGCTATTTGAATGCAGAGGTGTGCAGGTGATTATTGTTATGTGCTATATAGAAACTATGTCAGTTTGCTTGTAAAGGGACATATATTAATCTTATAAAATATGAGTTATAGGCAATTAATATTTCTAAATAATCCATTTTAAAATGTAGAAATTAAAGTTTGTGACTTTTCTTAAGCTTTTAAGATATTATTGTATTAATAAAACTATTAATATGTTTTCACTAAGATATAATATTGTTACTTTATGGTATCTTAGAATTGCCAGATGTACTCTAAGTACAGTCTTCTGATACAAGGTTTTCTATAGAGACATTTTGATTCTAGTATGTTAAAATATTAAAATTTCTAAAATGAAAATATGTACACTTGCCTCAAGTATGTTGACAATACAATAAGGATTTGGGAGTAAGGAAACAGTAGGAAAGGAAATAATGGAATGGATATTTGATATATTGTACAGCATTATTAGTGGGTGAGATTTCCTTAGAACACAGTATGCGGGGGTGGGGGCAGAGAGGAGAAGCCAATTATATTATTCTACTTAATTTAGGATAGGTGGTCTTTATTGTACCATTTTATAAATGGAATTTAGTCTTAGAACTTTTAGTGTTAGAACTTTTCATTTTAGTATCTGCTAAATGATAAACTTCAAATACTGTTAAAATATGCCAGAAATAGACTGATAGGCACATATGTAGTTTTGATTTTCTTTTCTTTTTCTTTTTTTTCCAGAGTGCTGCTGCTACAGCTGCTACCTTGGCACTCCCTGCAGGTGTGACTCCTGTTCAACAGATATTAACAAATTCAGGTAATTGGAAACAATGGGACCATTATATATATAATTCAAAAAACTATCATCTAGCCTTTCTTTGTCTTCATTGGAAGGCAGAAAAATCTTAATATTTCTTTTACCATTTGACTTAGGTTATTTAAATAAGATTGTTTGAGGGCTATAGAACATTAAACTATAATCATTGCTGAGGATGCAACAGAGAAGGCGAGAATTGCACTTGAGCTTTTGATCTCTGAGAATTCTGTTACTGAATGAAATATGATTATATAGAAATGCTTATTTACTTAGTTTTTTGCAAAACACATTTAACCCGCCAAATAAGTTAAATTTGAGTCATATGAACTGATTCATGATATTAAACTAAATATTTAATCCTTGTAATATCTTAAGAGTAAATATATTGCATTCTATTTTACATAGTATTTCTGTGTAGACCGACAATTTACTGGGATATTTGACATATTAATGTTTGAAGAATTTGTTTACATGGGTTCTAAGTATTCTTTGTGTAATCTTAATTATATAATTTCTCATTTTGTTAATTTCTAAATTTGTGAAGAGCAAACTAGGGGTTTATCTTGTTTCATGTTTTAATAAGATGTAGTTATTCACTTTTTCATTAATTCAAGATTCTGGGCCATCTAAAACAACATATTAGAGGGATTCAATTCTACGTGTATAAGCCAGTCATACAGTTAATGTTATGTGGCAATAATAATTGGTTCAGCAAACTTTTGTTGTTTTTAAGAAATTTTGAAGCTAAGTACTACGATGCTTTGATTCAAGATTTTAATGAACTATTGTACTTCCATTTCTATAAAGCTTTAAACATGAACAGCCCCTGAAATGTCTGATCTGATGTATTGGTCTCATTATTCTTAACATGTTAGCAAGACATTTTAAGATTTTAATCAATTCTCAGAATCTGTTTTTAAATTTTTGTTGGAAAACATCTTTATAAGGATGATAAATAAGGAAAATAAAACATTTTAAGCAATGTATTGAACGTGGATGGAAGTCAGAGAAGTTAAGGATTATGTTTACTGTGTATGGATGCGGCCCTTAATAAAATTCTTAGATTTCTTGTTTGATAATCTCTAGGGCCTTTAGTGATTTGATGTTCAGTATGAATTCATTTATTTTGATTGAGGTGTTAACTGCTAAAATGGTGACTTGGAATGCATACGTTTTGCTTTAGGTCAGCTTCTTCAAGTGGTCAGAGCAGCCAATGGTGCTCAGTATATCTTTCAGCCTCAGCAGTCAGTGGTTCTACAGCAGCAGGTTATACCACAAATGCAGCCTGGTGGAGTACAGGCTCCTGTTATACAACAGGTAAAAGAATCTTAAATTATGATCATCATGGCATTCTTTTTCTATGTATGTATGTATTCTCTGGTGGTTCTCTTCCCTTTTCTTATGGCTTTATCTGCGCAAATTCTTAAACTCTTCTCCAGTGCTTCGCCCTGTCATTCTAAATTCTCCTTGTATACTTTACAGTTTAATTTATAGTCAATATGTTTGAGACTAAATTCTTATCTCTACTCATCCTTTATCATCCCCCTAACTGTGTCTATCAGTGGCACCACTCTCCATCCAGCCTCCTAAGTTAGTTATTTGGCATTCATTCAACAAGCATTTATCGTGTGGCTACATATCAGGGTTTTTTGCAAGGGACTGGGAATTTAGGAGTGAACAAGGCAGGCATGAATTACTTTCATGATGCTTATGTATTTTCTGGAAGGGGATGTGTGGAATCCTCCCTTCCCCTTAACCTCGGATATCCAAAGTATCATGAACTCCTACCAATTCTTAATAGTTCCTTTTTTTCAGACTTCAGTTTTAACATGTTTTTAATCCCTTAATATGTTTGAAACTAGTTTTCTCAGACTCTCTTGTCATTTCCTTAGTTCATGCTTTCATAATTTCTTATTTAAAGTACTGTGATATCTTCCTCATCAATTTCCCTGCCATCCTAGTCTGACTGCTACTTTATATTTGTAGTCATTGTTCTAAAAATCTTAAAATCTTTTAATGACTTCCTGTTGCCTATTGGAAGAAGTTCAAACTCCTCAGCATGATTTGTAAGATATTTTTTGGATTTTTTTTTGGAAGAGGTGGGAAGGAGATCTCTTTAGGTTTATTTTTTGCCCTACTTTCAGTTGTTGTCTGCTTCAGCTGCTGTTTAGATCAGAGTTAACAAATCACCTACTTGTGTGCTTGGTATTACTATGAGGACGTTGATGAAAGAAATAGTTATTTTCTTGAGGTATTTAGGCACTTTAAAAAGGATACATATAAACACATAATGTCAGTATAATAGTACAATGGTAGAGGAAAAATCAGAGGAGCATTAATCCAGCCTATTTACAGCTTTCTAAATTTTGTCCTGCTGTTACTTCTGGATTTCACTTGATGTTATTCTATTTAGAATCCGCCTTTGGCATTTTTTTCTAGCAACTCCCTTCACTCCTCCAAAATGAACAAACCAAACAGAAAGACCTTGGCTATCTCCCAAAGCACAAATAGACACTCAAGTATTACCTACTGGAAGGCTCCCCGATCATGCCTTGTTCCCCAAGCTGACTTTAGTACTTTGTCCTGTGTTCTAATAACACTACATCCTACTTCTGTTATACTTTCTATACCTTTTTGAGTTGTTATTGCTCTGTTTATTGCACTGCTAATCTGTAAGCTTCTTAAGGAAAATACTAAAGTATTATTTTTGCATTCCTTGAACCTAATGACAAGTAATTGACACCGGTCCCTGGTGCCAAAAGGTTGGGGACCACTGCTTTAGCTAATTCCTAATATTTGGTTTTCTTTCGTCTTAGGTACTGGCCCCTCTTCCTGGAGGGATTTCACCACAGACAGGTGTTATTATCCAGCCTCAGCAAATCTTATTTACAGGAAATAAGACTCAAGTTATACCTACAACAGTGGCGGCACCTACACCAGCACAAGGACAGATAACTGCAACTGGCCAGCAGCAACCTCAGGCCCAGCCTGCTCAACAGCAGGCTCCATTGGTGTTACAAGTTGATGGAACTGGGGATACATCATCTGAAGAAGATGAAGATGAAGAAGAAGACTATGATGATGATGAGGAGGAAGACAAAGAGAAAGATGGAGCTGAAGATGGTCAGGTAGAAGAAGTAAGTTTCTAGTAAACGAGTAGGAATGAGAAGCTATTCAGTCTTTTCTTTTTTAACTTAGTGCCAAACTTGAATTATGTCCTTTTTTTTCAGAGGCTCTTAGGGTGCTATACAACATAGGATTTTAAATATAAAGTTCTAACTTAATAAGGTTTTTAGATTGTTATAAAATATCATTTCATATAGCTGTTAATGAAAAATGAATGTATACCAAATTAAGTTGTATTTATAAAGGTGATAGTGATAGTGCAAGTTATTCTAGTTCTTTGGCTTATGCATTCATGATGTGGCTTAAACACAAGATGTTGGTAGAATATATAGATGTGATTAGTCTTTTGCTTCTGTAATTAAAACGAGATAGTAACATTTGGGAAGAGAGGAAACATGAGAAAAAAGCTAAATGTGACAGATTTTTCCAAAACCTTCTTTTTGGTCCATATTCCAAACCATTTCCTTTGATAACCTTATCTGCTCTTAGTGTCAATCTTAGTTTAACAAACCATCCTTTCTTACTCGTTTTTAGTTATATATTAGAAGCATATAAATACATTTTTGTTTTTCTCAGTTCCAGCTTAGTTACTTGTGATCAAGATGATATTTGGCTTACCACAATTTTCATTAATTGCCTTCTGCAACCTAAGATGTAATCTTCTAAATTATCTAAGTAATGTTTTTAAAAAATATTGTTTTTATTAAATATTGACTAGATACAAATGAATAAAAAACTCAAGATATAAACACCCTGGTGTCTACATCTAGTTAAAAAAATAAATCCCATTGCTTAAAGTCCCCTGGGTGCCTCTCCCCAATCCCTGTCTTCTTCCTTTTACCATCAGAGTAACCATGCTCATGAATTTTGTGTTTATTATTAATTGGCCTTATATTTTACCATAGGTATTATCTTTGTAAAGAGTATATTGTTTAGTTTTGCATACCTATTTATGACATAAAATAATTATGTAATAATGATTATTAATTTTCCTGAGGTTCATCTAAGTTATTTGCATATACCTATAATTATTTTCACTGTTCAGTTTATCGTAATTTATCTATTTTTTTGATACGATGGGCATTAGGGTTGTGTCTACTTGTTTACTGTTACAGTTATAAAATATTCTGGTATGTGTCATCTAGGGACACATATACAAGAGTTTCTCTAGGTATTATAATAAACACTGAACTGCTGGATCCTGAGGCATGCACACCTTCAAATTTACAATCAAATGCAAAATTGTTGTGTGAATAACACTCTTACCATTCAGTATGTAGTGGTGCAGATGTCTACACCTTTCACCATACTTGATATTGTCAGGTTTCTTAATTTTTGCCAGTCTGGTAGGTAGAAAATGGTATTTCATTTGGTTTTAATTTGCATTTTCTTGATTACTGTTGAGGTATATAGCCTCTTTGATTCTCTCATATGTTCTCTGTTGATAATCAAATAAGATATGAAAAATGACAGTTTTTCTTGACTTGCTGGCTAAGCCATCCAGAACAATATTTATTAGAAATGGTGAGAGCAGGCACCCTTGTCTTAATCTTAAAAGGAATCCTTTCGATGGTTCACTAGTAATTGTGCTGACTGTAGGATTTTTATGGATATCCTTTATCATGTTAAGGAAGCTCCTTTTTATTCAAATTAAGAGCTTTGCTTTGTTTTTAAACTGTAAATGAGTGTTAAATTTTATTAAATACTTTTTCTACAACTATTAGATAATCATGATTTATTTATAATCTGCTATTTATGGTGAATTACATTAATTGGTTTTCTGTTTATAAAACCAATTTTGTATTCATGGGATAGCACAACTTGATCATTATATATTACTCTTTTTATGAATTTCTGAATTCCCTTTGTTCAGGATTTTTGCATGAATATTCATGAATGATACTATCTCATTTTCTGTTCCTATGCTCTTATCAGGTTTTCAGGTTTATTTATGGTAGACTTATACAGTGAATTGGGGAGTGTTCCCTCACCTTGGATTTTTTTTTTTTTTAAGATCATAATTAATTCTTCTGTGAATATTTGTTAAAATATGCTGCTAAAAACATCTGGTCCTAGTAATCTTTACTCTGTTCAAGTGTTTTGTTTCTTTTTGAGACAGGTAAGGTAACAATACCTGTCTGGAGATACTGTGGGGTCGGTTCCAGACCACCACAAAAAAGTGAGTCCTAATGTTTTTGCTGGTGGAGGTTCTTGCCTTCAGTTTGTAAAAAATGTAACATCTGTGAAACACAGTGAAGCAAAGCATAATAAAACAAGATATGCCTGTATTTCTCTAAAAATATAATATCTAAATTTTAAAATTTGATTAGCATAAAGTTAATGATCATGCTATCTTTTTGCTGTCAGAATCATTCATAGTTTTTTATTTTCTCATTCCTAATATTATTTGTGCCTTCTTGCTCTTTTTCCTTGTTCAATGTTGCTAGAGGTATACTGATTTCATTAATGTTTTTAAAGAATCAACTTTTAACTTTGTTTATTCTCTCTAGTGTGTTTATTCCCCAGTAATAATTTCTGTTCTGATTCACTTTTTTGTTTGTAGATAAAATAATCTGTATGATGTATGCATCCTTTGAAATTGGTTGAGACTTGCTTTATGTGATCAACTCTTGCATATGCCATGTATTTGAAAAGAATGTGTTCTCTGCAGTTGTACTGTCATTTCTATATGTCTATTAGATTTAGATTGTCAGTAGTTTTCTTTGGATATTCTATCTACCCTTACTGATATTTTTTCTGTGCTTGCTCCATCACTGATTACTGAGTAAGATGTGTTCAAACCTCCTACTATCATGTTACATTTGTTTTTCTGTCATTTTTGCTTTTATATTTTGAGTGTCAAAATGGTGCATATAAGCTTAAAATTGTATTTTCTCACAGAGTTGAACCATTTATGATTACGTAATATCCTGCTTTATCTCTAGTAGTGTTTTGTTTGTTTGTTTTGCCATAAAATCTGTTTTAATAGAGCCATACCAGCGTTGTTTCTCTTAGAATTTGCCTGGTATAGCTCTTTCATTCTTTCACTTTAAAATGTTCTGTATCCTTAAGCTTCAGATGTCTTTTTTTTAATGGAATGCTGCTCTGTATGATGTTGTATTACAAAGTTTTTACATGGTCCAAAGGCATTCAGTAAGGAAAGAATAGTCTTTCCAACAAATAGTGTTTGGACAACTGACTATACGTATGCAGAAGAATGAAATTGGACCCCTACTTCACACCATATACAAAAATTAAAAACAGATAACACACCTAAGTGTAACGTTAAAACTACAAAACTGTTAGAAGAAAACATAGGGCAAAAGCTTCATGACATTGGATTTGGCAGTAGTTTTTTTAGATATGACACCAAAAGCACAAGCAGTCAAAGCAAACATAAAGTGGACTTAATAGATTAAAACTGTTGTGTAGTAAACGACAGTATAAAAACAGCTAAAAGACAATCTACAAAATAGGAGAAAATATTTGCAAATCATATGTCTGATAAGGGATTAATATCCAGAATATGTTGAGAACTCTTAAAACTCAGCAGCAACAGAAAAATTTTATTTCAAAAATGGGCATAAGACTTAATAGACATTTTTCCAAAGAAGATATACAGATAGCCAACAAACACATGAAAAGATGTTCGCATCATTGTTCATTTAGAGAAATGCAAATGAAAACCACAAAGAGATACCATTTCACATTGGAGTGGCTGTAATAAAAAAAAGAAAATGTTCGTGAGGATGTGGAGAAATTAGAACTCTTGTGTATTGCTAGTAGAAGTGTAAAATGCTGTAGCTGTTGTGGAAAATGGTTTGCTGATTCCTTAAAAAGTTAAGCATGGAATTACCCATGCACCCTTGCAGTTTCACTCCTAAATAATATGTATAAGGTGATTGAAACAGGTGTCAAACAAAAGCTTTTAAATGAATGTTTATAACAGCACAGTTCACAAAATCCAAAAGATGTAAGCAACCCAAATGCCCATCAACTGATGGATGGACAAATAAAATTTGGTATGTCCATACAATGGAATATTATTTAGCCACGAAAAGGAAAAAAGTACTGGTGTATGCTGCAACATGGATGAATCTCAAACATGCTAATGCTACATTAAAGAAGCCAGATCACATATTGTGTATGTATATTGTCTAATTCCATTTTATGAAATGTCTACAATATATAGAGACAGAAAGCAGATTAATAGCTACTAGGGATGAAGAGAGGTGGGAACGGAAAAGTGTCCGTTTAATGGTAAAGGTGATAGATTATTCTGGAATTAGATTAGTGGTGGTGATTGAATACATTATGAAGTGTGACTGAATTATACACTTTAAAATGCTGAATTTTATGTTATGTGAATTTTATCTCCAATTTTTAAAATATTTACATTGATGGTAATCTATTTTAAATATAAATTTGAAATTAATATAAATATACATGTGTGAGTAGGTACAGGCATAGACTTAATATCTTGTTTGTTTTCCTTTCCATTTTTATTTTCCATATTTTCTTCATTAATCAGAAGTATGAGTGATATCTTTTGCCACAACTGAGGTCCAGTTTAACATAGTTGATCATTTTATGCTCTACTTAGACCTTGATCTTTAATTGTTTTTGGTACTGAGACTACTAAGTCTGTTTCATCTCTGCCCCAGCACAAGCATGCTTTTAATCTGACTAGCTTAATCATACTCTAAGCCTCCATAATCACCATCACAATGGTAGACATGCTAATTTATATTTAGAGTCCTAGTCCCTAATGTAAAGACAAGTCAGACTGTTAGCCTATTATATATAGCTTTTTTCCCCTCCAATTTCACTGTTGTTTCCCCTTTTACACTACAGGTGATGCATAGGGCCATTATCTTATTAAACCCTCATATTTTCAAACCTAAGGAAGAATAAATAAGATCCATGTCTAGTCTGGTCATCCTAAACAGTTATTACAGAGAATTATCTTCTTTGCTATTCTGAAAGAATAAAGGAAATAAAGTTAAACATCATTTCAGACTTTGAAGTTATAGCTTAACTATTGTAATTGTTTTTAATTTCTTGCCGGGATTTCAGTAACATTGGCTAAGTCTTAAATGAAGCCAATTAACAACATGTTCGTGGTATACATGGTGTGCATTTCTCTGTCTTGGTTCTCAAAGAACATCAAGGCCATTGTATTTCTTTTCACTGAATATTAGAAGGGCCTTTTTCTAGTAATACATGAAATATAAATAAACTCTCCCTTTTTATTTTTAGGAGCCCCTCAATAGTGAAGATGATGTGAGTGATGAGGAAGGACAGGAACTCTTTGATACAGAAAATGTTGTTGTATGCCAATATGATAAGGTAAGGATTTTATCATCGGATTACTGACATTTTTTTCCATTATAATTTCTTCCCTAAATCATCCTTTCTGCAACGTTCAAACATTTGGGTAGCCAATTGATGCCTCTTGTATACAGTATAAACAATATGAATGAAAACATTGTTATAGTTTTGTAGATTATTTTAGTAGAATGACAAATTAACTTGTGTAGCTTTACATTTGAGAAATAAGTTATGAATGAAATCATGAGGAGAGTTATTAAGTCCCAACTTGTTAACATGGTAAACAAAGCCAGTTTGAGTTGTCCTTTATCATCAATAACTCAGTGGGATTATCCTGTCTTTCATTTATCCTCAACGACCTCAAAGCTAAAAGGCTTTAATTGAATCTCTGCAACTTTTTTTATTACTAAGGCGAGAACTAGGGCAATAAACAGGACTGATAACTAAACAAACATGTTTTTACTGAAAATTATTTAAAAAATTATTTAACTTTGCTGTACTTTGATAGTATTATGGAATTTTTAAACTAGATTCTGTGAGACTTAGCTCTTGACTCCTTGTTTTCTTAATTCTTAAAAAGGATGCGACTTTCCAAGTACTTTTGTTAAGAGTTTTTGGCATTGTTGAGATTTTTGTTTATCGAAACAGTTTGGAATAAAATTCGTTTTCTGACTGAAATCATTAAATTTGTAATAAATCTACAAATTATATTGTATTTATAATTTAATTTCAGCAGAGGCCTTTACCAAATACTGAAGACTGTAACAGAAGCAATTGGGTTTTGTTTATAAGTACAGTTTATTCAGTAAACAGATATTTATTACGTGCCTGAATGAGCCAGACACTGGAGCATTAGTCATGATCATACAAAATTTGTGTCCTGCATGCATTTCCTTCACACATGATAAAAATCTTAAATTTGTGTTGCTTTTATAGAAATAAATATCATAAATAACCATGCTTATTGCAAACAGATCTTTGAAAAATGTCAAGACAGTTTTCCTAATGAAAAGATAAAGTCAAGCCAGTTAAATACCAGTGAAATTATAGAATAGACTCATTGAGGTCATTGATTCAGAGTTATGAGAGTATCCACTATTGTACATTAGGACTTCTGGGTGAATGTTCTTAATACCCTATACCAGGCACATTATAATAAATGTAATTTCTTGTTTCATATATAGGAGAAAAAGATTGAGGTCAAAACAAGAGATACCGATAAACCTTTATTGTCAGGAAGTCTCGAGGGATTCTCTTGCAACCAAATTATCCAGAACACAATTTCTTGATAACAAGATGTCAGATTAATCAGGCAAGAGAGAACTTTCACTTTAGCTTGACTGAAGAATATGCTTCTCATTATTTTCATATTCTAAGAGAATGAGTATATTCTCCTTTGGTAAAAATTATACACATAATATTTTAAATATTCAAATTGGCTTGGTTTGTTCCCAGAGATGTTACTTTAATGTGTTAAAGTAAGAAACTGAAAATAGCTTTAAATAGTGTATTGGATAATAAACAATTTTAAAGTTTGCAGAGATCTAATTTTTAGAATTAAATGAGTTCTAGAGATTAGGGGGTTAGGGACTTCATGCTTTAGTCAACAGTAAAGAATGGTAGTGTTCTATCACTGGCTAAAATAGGGTTGGATGTGGTTTGAGCCCACTTAAATTTTAGGATTTTATTTTTGAAGCCTACTGATGAATTTCAATAATGAGTCAATACTAGGAGCGATCATAGAAAGAATAATGAAGTTTGTGTTGCCAGTCAAATCAGAATCTTAGTTCAACCTAATAATGAAGCAGAGTTCTCCCTTAAGTATGGGCAGGTAAATACTTGATGGCATCAGATATAGAGGCTTCAGCCTTATTTAATAGGTAATTTTACTTAATGTGTTTGTCGCTAGGAAATTTTAGAAGGTCTTTTTCCTGGCATTCAGGACACTGCTCCATGAAGGGTTTAGGGCCAGTAATTGTTTTTCAAGTTGTATTTTGTGATTTTATTCTAATGAAAATATTTACCATTTATTATCCAGTAGTACTTCAGTGCTGAGTATATGTAATATATGATCCATGAAATTTCTACGTTTTCTTTTTGCAAGCTGTCTTACAGCAGAATGCAATCAATTTCTTTATTTGTTCATGGAATTACTTTTTCTTGACTACTAGTCACTTTTTTGTTTATATACTGCCATTGTCTCTCAGGTTACAGCCACCTGGTTCATGCTGGAAATAAATCTGTATACCTATTTGTAGGATAGTTAATACTTTCTTTACAGGGTATCAAAGAAAAGAGGAGATAGAGATCTTTCCATATAATTTCATACAGCAAATACTTATTGTCTACGATGCTCCTGGGCACTGTTCTGAGATCTTGAGGTACCCTAGTGAACAAAATCAAACAATCCTTGCCATTGGGAAACTTACTCTAGTCAAGGGATACTGATGCTAAAACATAAATAAATTAATTTATATGGCATGGAAGCTGATAATCAGTATGGAAAAATATAGAGTTGGAAAGAGGATAGATTACAGTTTTAAATTAGGGTGATCATGTTAGATCTTTTGAGAAGATGACATTTGAACAGAGACTTAAAGACGGTCTTTAAGTCTTGGGTATTAGGAGCAGCAAGGGGGCCAGTGTGGGTGGACTGGGGGTGGGTGGACGTGGGGGAGTAGTATAGTAGGGTAAGTCAGAGGTAAGTAGAGGCAAAGCGTGTGAGAGTTTGTGAGGACATAGGTTCTTATTCTGAATGTATTCGGAAGCTTTTGGAAGGTTTCAGATAGACAGATGTGATATCGCTGACATTTTAATTTTAAAAGGGTTACTTTTCCTTCTTTGTTGAGGTCAGAGTGTGTGGAGGAAGCAAAGGTTGAAACAAGGAGCCCTCATAGAAGGATATTGTAATCCAAGTGAGAGAGACTGGTGACTCAGGCTAGTGTGATAGTATGGAAATGGTGAAAAGTGGTTGGATGTTGGTATGTTTCAAAGGAAGAATCAACAGGAATTTCTGACTCTAGTTGGACATATGATAGAAAAAAAGAGGAATCAAGAATGATTCCAAGATTTTTTGATGAGAAACTGGAAGGAAGAATGACGGTGCCATTAGATCAAATGGGAAAGGCTGCAGATGCAGCAGGTCTTGGAGATGAGAGTGATCAGCTTTGGACATGTTAAGTTTGGAAAGTCTGTTAGACCTTCAAATCATCCATCTTAAGATGTTGGATTTAATATCTACATAGAGTATTTAGGCCAGACGTATAAGATAGTTAATGCAAGAGTCTGCCTCGACTACTGTTTTAATTTTTTTGTGCCCTATTTTGTTTTAATAGGTAAGAAATTTTTAATAAATGCTAAATGTAGACATAGCTTTAAGTCAGTGATTTAGAGGAAGAATGTGAGAGTGCTTTTCAAATATATGAAGAGTTGTTTGATTTTTTAAAAAAATTAAATCCCAAAAAGCAAAGGTAGGATCAATAAGTAGAAGTTTGGAGGAAGCAGATTTCAGTAAATGGGAAAGGTATGAAGACTTATAAGAGAGCTGTCCCAGAAAGGAATAACTTAATTTGCAATTCTTTACCACCTACTTCTAATTATATTCAGACAGCACTGACAGACATTGAACAGTGATTTGTTGAGAACATGCCATGGAAAACGTTTGCACTGGGAGCTTAGACCATGGAATTTTTGGAATGGGACCTAAGAAAATATCTGTACATAGTGAGAATTTCTGCATTGTTACATAAATTAGCCTAATTTAATAAACAATAGACCAGGACTCAAGAATCATCTTTGTCATTTAATGGCACTTTGCCCTTGGTCAAGTCATTGAACTCTTCTCCAGGCTATAATCTCTTCTTTTGAAATGAAATTCTGAACTACTTGATTTGAGGTCCTTCGGATTGATCAGAAAAGAGGGAGGACCTTGGGTTCTTCTTTGAAGAGGATGTGGAGTTTGAACTGAACATTGAATAATGAGTGAGACTTACTGAGAGAGGGAAGAAACAATCATTTAAGTTGATTAAATTCCCCCCCGCCCCCGCCGCAATCCATGGAATTGCAAACAAGTAAAAACTATAAATGAAGGCAATTATGGGACTGTACAGGGTGGCCCAGTTTGAACTCTACTCTTCTCTCTTTGTCTTAACAGTAGATGTACACAGTTTTTGAAATCTGCAGTAAGTGACTGGATGATTAGCATTCCTTCAGGCGTACCTTTCAAATGCCGCTATATATTTAAGTCTTGAGAAAACTAAACTATAAGGAGTTTTATTTTGGTAGAAGAAATCAGTCCACTCTTGCATATACTTAGAAATAATGCTAGAAATGTCTTTGGGAATGCCGTTGAGAATTGATTAGTAGAAAAGAGCACTTTTAGCCGATGAGATTAGGGAAAGCTTTGTGGAGGACAGTATTTTGAGATGCATCTTGGAATAAGAATTGAATTTGTAAAAATGCAAGCAAGAGATGATAATTACTTTGATTGAAATATTGTCTTTGAGTAATGTGAAGATAGGAAATAAGGTTGGAAAGGTGTGTTATTATTAGGTCATTTAAAAATAGAAATAGTCAAGCAAAGGTGATTGGATGAAATTGTGCTTCTGGCAGCAATGTTTATAAGATGATTGAAAGGAAGGGGAGATAATAAATCAGAAGACAAGAGGCTATTGATGTAGTAACTAGATTATTTGGTGGCCTTTATGAAAACAGTTGCCAGGTATCCTGGAGATGAAGTAGAATTAGAGATTAAAATACTAATATTTGTATGAATACTGTGAGGCTACAGTATTAGAATGGTCTACAGTGTGGAAGTTGTCACTATTTATGAGGAAGAGAAAGGTTGTACATGATAACCAACATTGAGGAAAGATACTGTCTTGATGGTCAGTAGATAAGAGGAATGAAGAAAATCCTAAGGCTAAGTAAGTGGTATAGACATAAAAGGAGTTGGAAAAGGCAGAACTGATCTAGAGAGAGAACAAGGAGAACAAAGGGTATTCTTATTTTAAATGTTT